GAGTTTGTTAGACTTCCAAGAGGAGAGCTAAATTGCACACACTGCTTAACATCAGGTGGGAACGTCCAGCAACACAAATGTTGTCACCATCATATCATAATCAGATTATAATTTCACTCTTCCTCTCAGTGCCTTATTTATGCCAATTCCTTAAGTGACCACTCAAGAGACATTTCATGGAAGTCCTTCCTAATTAACAAGGAAATGTTCAGAGTTGTGACTTTCCTCTCTATGCTCATTGTGTTGATTAGGTATGGGCACATGCTCATGTTTGTGTTCATTACTTCAAAATCGTTATCTTGACTCTGCTGGCTCATTCACAGTCTGTTGCAAGGCTGGGAAGCATATGGTCTGGTGCCTGGTTGTTTTTGAGTTTATTATGGACTGTGGACTCACTGTCTTTGCAGGGTGAGGGGGGGATGCTATTTCTCTAATACTGTAGTTCTGTTAATATATATGGCCTTCTGCAAGTCCTCGGTAAAGAGGAGTAAATATTCAAGACATTGTCCTGATGCATAGGACATTGAAGTTCAGTATGCAGGTGTGAGAACCTCATCTGGTTCCCACGGAAGTCGAAGAGATTTAGTTTGATTTTGAATCAGATTCTGTAGACACAAAGGTCTAGTGTAGCAAAACCTAGATGCAAGCTGGGCATGGCAGCCTTGCAATAGTCTACATCTGCCTGGGTGTTGGGAGTACGAATGGTATCTTCACTCTTAGGTGTTTTCCTGATAACATAGAGGTAGTGAACCATGATAAAGGCACAACCATTGGTGTCACAAACTGTATGAATTCACACACTCAAATCTGTCTGGTATTTGTTTCATTTGCCTTGCTTTAAACAAAGCCTCACAAAATGCAAAAATAATTGATAGTCCATCAATAGCTGGAGTAGTTGTCTCCTTCCTTATAGACCCACTATACTGCACACCAGCAAAGCTTTTGCCCCTGTACAGAGGAGTTAATAATTATCTTATAGTGAGGGATTATTATGAGTTGGAGCCACTGAGGAGTCACCCATGGAAAGGGAATCTCGTGGTGAAAGTTTTGCATGTATGCAACAGCAACTTGTCTCACCCTCTTGGTGTCAGTAAGAGGCACAGTGTCAGTAGAAAAATAAAGTTTTCCAGCATTCAGAAGGAATTTCTTAACGTTCAGCTTTTGGAAGATTGCCCGAGTCCCTCGTGGTTTTTTTGTTTCTAGATTTTGCAAAAACAGTATTAGAAAACTGGTGAACCAAAAGGTAGACAGAGGTGCATCTGTTACCACAGCCCTCCCCAGGGTGCAGACCGTAATCTCTGCTGCCAGAGTATGGACTTCCCAGCTTGGTCAAAATACAAAGGGTCTTCTTTAATAATGTGCCCCGTGTTGGCATCGTTTTGTTGTCATGGAGGGTTGTTGGAGGGGTAAACAAAACCCAGCATGCTGGGGCCATGAGGCAAGGATCGCAGAACATGGTCTTGGTAAAACTGGCTTTGCCTGTGGGAGGGATCCACTGTTGGTTCCTTCAATTAAATCTCTCTCAAAAAATTGATTAGTAGTATAAACAGGAAGGGGATCCAAGTAACTGTCCTGCCTCTATGCAAATCTGAGTTATCCCCATGAATTCTAAAACAGGTTGTGTCAGGCCCATGAAAATGCTGTACCAGGACTGCAGAATCTGACTTGTTCCAATGCAGTATTACAAAATCTTGCTCAAAGTCTTGTAAAGTAAAAGGGAGTGTAGATTTGGAGAGTAAACCTAGTCCAGTAGAGTGATACAGCAGTGAATTTCCATCTAAACTTGGATTTGGTTGCAGAGATCTGGTTCATGTCCATAACTGCTAGCAGCACACTATGGGATCATAAAGTCCCTTTTGAATAATTCTGTGGAGCCGACAGTTCCCTTTTGTAAAAAAAGGTGGTCATTTCAGGACAACAGGTATGCTTCAGTTTCAGTAATAAAAAGCACTGCTTAGCATGTATGCATTGAGATACATTCTCAGCGTATGAGTTTGTTTTTGTCTCTTGAAAAATTATAGAAGAGAATTCTGGGATAAATAAAAGGAAAGGTTTTTTCATTTTTATTCTGAGCCACATACAGGAGAAGGCAGTGGAAGCTGTTTCAGTCACAGGCACAGAAATGAAGTGGCACAATCCATATCGAGAGGCACACCACAAGTGCAATTACAGTGCACAGGTTTATCTGTTCCCTTTTCAGAGCAGTTTTCAAAAAAAGCCATTCTGAATTTTTAAACCTCCCTTGTAAATCTAAAATACTCCTATCTACAATGGTATTTTACTGATATTCTGATAATTCCTGTAACATTAGACAGCCTACACAAAGAAGCATTTGATTGCTGCAAAGGATGTACACATCTAAGAAGCAGGCAAGCAGCAGATGTAGCATGGAGAGAGAGAGAGAAACAGGACATTTATGTGTGTTAAATATTCAAGTACAGATGATCAATACCTGTTATTATTACGTGACCTACTTCTTTTTGTCAACAGTCATGGATGGGAATGATACAATAGAGGTCACCTAGGAGTACTATAGACTTGAATCCAGACTGCTGGTGAGCCATCTCAGAACATTAAAACCAACTAAACAACAAAAAAACCCCAAAATATTCTAAGTAAATTGTACTTTTAAAATGCTTATTTTAGTCTGATTTTTTATGCTTGAGAAAATGCTTACTTACACAGTGAGTTGTCTACTTAATTTGAATGCAATATTAAATGCAATAGGAGATACATGGATTTTTATACACATATATACACCTGAGAACTCTTTTGCAGAAAATATTTGTAAGATAAGAGTTCTGTCCTTTTTTAGACCGTAAGAATAACACATAATGTAGTAGAAGTAAAATTATATTCTGAGTAAATATGATCACTACTGTTGTGTGGTATGTGGAGGCCTCTGTGACTGATTAGTCATATTCTGCATATTAAGTACTGTAGGGTCAAGTGTCAAGAGTGGCTGAGCACCATATTTCCCGTTGGTTTTGTTCAGAGTTGCGTGGACAGATCATTAGAGCTGTGTGAGTAACAACTTCTGTGATGCGCTAGCAATTCTGAAAAATAAGAAACTCTCCAACTGGACACCGTGGTGGTTTTTTTTTCTTCTAGTGAATAAATAGACTAGGACAACCAAAACATTTTATCAAGCATCTTTAATAAAAGAAAAGGAAATTTGAAATAAAAAAACTGCATTCAAAGGAGCATGTGGAATATCAGTTCATAAAAGCTGGGAGGAGATGCTGCTCATGTATATCTTACATTTCCTCAGAGATAAGAGCCTGAATTACATCCGTCCTTTAAGTAAGCTCAAGGATAGGCTTAAGCTCAAGATTTACAAATAGCAAAGGAACATGGTAAGCAGTGGGCCAGAGAGCGTGGGGTATGTAGCTGTTTGAGTAGTTTTGGGAATAGCATTTGTGCCTTCCTCAGACTCGCATATTAACCTAAAATATTTCTCCTTGAAAAAGCTAACCCTATTTCTAATGTTTTATCTTATTTTTTAAAATTTTGTTTTAACCAAAACTATTCCCATAGCTGCCTTTTAAAATATTTTTTAGCGTATTTTTCCGAACTTTTTTCAAAATGTAATGAAATGCTTTACCCAGGTGTAGTCTGATGACTCTTCAGCTGGAGAGGGCAGTTCTTCCTTCCCCACAGTAACAGTGCTGTGGAGGTCCAGATCTGGAAGAGTTTGGTCTGTCTTGCTGATCCAGAGTGGGATACTCTTACTAACAGCTAATAATGGCGCCGCCTCTCAAAATGAAGAGTTTTGTTTACCTCTCCCCCTCAAATCCCTCTGTGAATTGTGTTTTATCAGTGAAATTGCTCCCAGATTATGCAGTCCACTAGGAAGACTAATAAAAGTCTTTTATAACTATAATCTATATATGCTGGCAAGCTTGAATACATTTACATATAAGAAAAAGCAAATTTAGATAATTCAACAGTACAAAGCTTTGTGCCGAGAGCATACAATAGTATCTCTTTCACCAGATGTGTGTGACTAAGCAGCCTCTTATTACTGGTTGCAGAAATGCTAACTCCAGAAAAGGACATTAAAAGTATAGCGTTTACGTATAGAGGAAAAGAAACAGTGCAAGAAATTGCAAAGTGACAAATTACATGGCCAGTGGAAAAGGGACAATAAAATCTGCTTTTCCTGAATTGTCGTCTTTATAAAAGAAGGATGCTGTAGTAGGCTATATAGTTTATTAGGAAAATTATTCATGGAATAGTGCAATTTCAAAATACATGTAATGGTGTGTGAGATTCCTCACTCTGTATACAGTTATTTTGTTGTATATGTTTATTCACGTGAGCTCGTAACAAAGCAGGAAGATGCCAGCTTCTTGCTTATATCAGCAGGTATCTAAGAATAGACTGCTGGAACTTGCATTCCTTCAATGTCACAACGTTAAGTTAGAAGACAGAGAAGAGACAGAGAAGGAGTATATAGGTTTTCCAGGTTTTACGCTTTGTTTAGAAAAAGAAATCTCTAACCTGCACTTAGAGTATTTCAGTCATTTTTCCTGTGAGAAACTCTTGAATTACAAGTAGTGAATAAATAGGTAGAAGATTTTAAATGTATGAAGCAAAATCACAAAACAGGGACAGCTAAATTCAAGAATGCTGCTAAAATGTAAATTCGTCATGTGCCATGTTCTTCATCTTTGCCCAGGTGGCACATATGATTGATGGCCAGAAGAAATTAAATTTGCACTCTTCTAAGCTGAGTGGATGCTCACAGTGTTAGCCAGTGGCTTTTACTGGAGGATTACAATAAAGATGAAGGGTGAAGTATTTTTGGTCTGACATACTGTATAAATCTTCATGAAACACTTTTGATTCAGAGCTTGAGGAGGGGGAAATTACTTTTTACAATTGGGAAGAGGCAGCTAATGACTTAAAATCCAGCTCAGTCAGAGGCCCCTGGCGCAATTAGGGCTACCGTCTTTGCGTGGCAATGAATCTCTTCTTTTGTCTGTTGTGACGCATAGGTGAGAAACACGCAGCAGAGCCAGACGATGCAGAGCTGGTGAGCCTCAGCAAGAGGCTGGTGGAGAACGCGGTGCTGAAGGCTGTGCAGCAATATTTAGAAGAAACACAAAACAAAACCAGACAGACTGATGGGAGCCCCATGAAAACTGAAGAAGCGGCAAGCGGCAGTAAGAATGAGAGCGACCTTGATAACAGCAAGTGAGCACTGTGCAAACAGCCTGGGAGCAAATTTCCCACGAAGAATAACCACAGAAACATGTCCCAGCTCCCCGCTGAAATTTGCTAAGTGGTGCTGGGTGACAGGCACTCTGCTTTGCGAGTCTCTTATCTAAAGTTTGTTCTGAATCAAAGGACACTGTCTACTGGTTTCATCAGTGCGTGCACTGCTGAAAGTCTGTTGAACTCTAGGAGGGATGGACGGTGGAAAAAAGACAAGAATGGTGAAGCCGGCGTCTCCAGTCTTCACTGGCTCTTGATACCAAGAGTCCCTTCCTTGCTTTTGAGGACAAAATGAACCCTTTGCGTTTGCCTTTTGGGTTGTCATAAATGGCCGTGGAAGAGGCCTTGCCATAAGTGGAAGCGACGCCCTCGACCCAAGGGTTTGGCACTGCCGCAGGGCTGCTTACTCCGTGTGAGAGCACGTGCTGTTTCCTAGTCAACAGTGGCCAACCCCAAGCTAAAAATTGCCACTACAGATATTCGTTGCAGATACTATTACACAGTATGTAATATGGCAGGAGTTTATCTTAAATGTGACACTGTACTATTCTTTACTTTTTTTGGTAGCATTTGTTGATGTAAATTATATTTTTTTGACAAAGTACCTTTTTATAAAAAATCAATATGAGCAAAAGGCTGAGCAGTTAATGCTGTTGAAACCCGATATGATCTCTTTATCTTCATACATTAATGACTCTAAATGACATTAGTTGTTATAAAATGTATTATATTGTTCTTTTCCTCTAGGAAAGAGCCATGACGCAGACTTCGTAAAGGAGGCTTTGCACAGAGAAACTCAAGCCCTGTTATCCAGACTGAATCAGATAAAGGAGCTGTTATCCAGTCCTGATATCCGCACGAAAATTAGCAAAGAACTCTTTGAAGACAGGCACAACTCTAACAGTAAACGGAAAAGTTGTACTGACTCTGAATCTCCAAGTGCATGACTGTAAATTGCCATGATGTAAAATCTCATTGGGTTGTTTAAAGACAAAAACTGTTTCTTCAAGAAATTTTCCTTCCTGTTTCTTTTTTACTGAAAATATGAATGGGTGTAAATGGCTCATCAGGAGTAATGCTGAAATACTTGCACAGAAGTAGTATATTTCATAATAATGAAGTACAGCCACTCCTCAGCACTGCTTTGAAATATGCTTGAAAGTGCAGATACATGTCATGACTCCAATGTGGAAAAGCACTGCTCTCAAATAAATCTGAGCAAACACTGTGCCCTTCCTTTATCATTGCAAATAATTCAGATTTTTCTCATAGATCTTTTCCCTTGCAATGATGTACAAATATTTAAAAAATAGATGCTTTTAAATACTTTTAAATGTATATTTGAAAAAAACTTTTAATTATCTGCCTTTTGGATATATACTTGCATTTTGGGTTAGCACTGTCTGTTTTTTATTTTTTTTTAAACAGCACTTGAATACTTGTATACATGCTGACATGTTGTTTCTGCTGATGTTTACACTAATGCAAGAATGTTTTAAATTTCAGAATGAAATTCAGGCTCCACTGATGTCAATGGGAGACTCTCATTGGTTTTAATGGAGTCAGGATGCTGCAATTAAGATTTCTCGTGAAAACAATAATATTCCTTGGCATAATATTTGCCTTTTTACTTTTGTAGAACAGTGTTTCTGTCTTTTGTTTTTGACGGTTCCACCATCTCTACCTTCTGCTGCCTGAGGTGGGGTGTCAGTTTGCTCTCGTTCCCTCCACACACCGGCAAGAGTCACTGCAGCTTTGGATGTACAACAATGCAGCAGTAGGTCCAGTGTTTGCGTTTTTTATAAACATTGTTTGAATTGCCTCTGATCATAAATGCTGTGTGATACATGTTGTGATCGATATCAGAATTGTGCTGTTAGAACAGCTCTGTGCATATTCTTTGTTGGTCTCAAGCGCTGGTCATTTATCTTGTACATCATAGCTATTTTTCTTCTCATTTCATATATAATGATATATTCTGAAATACACCTCTGAAGCCATGTTCACAATAAAGTATTTTTTCCTTTGTGCTCTATGTACATTTTCACCTGTCTTCAAATGGACTTTAATAAAATGAAGTACTTTAATAAAATGAAGTACTTTGCAATTAACACAAAACCTGACGGACACAATGCTTTTGTGTGCCAAGATACTGATCTAGGCCTTGGGTGCTGAAATCATATGAGGAAATTCATGTGTATAAGCTAGTCCCAAGTCATCATTCTTTTAAACAGAAAAACTTTGAAACTCCAGTGATTACTTTTTACTCTGGGCTGCATGAGATTAGAAGGAGGAAATGGTAAAACTTCTTAGAGGTCCATGTGCACTCTTCAACCTCAAAAATTGATTTTAACAACTAGACTCAAATTTGCTCTAGAATATAAAAAAAATCTGACTTTGGCATCATCACTGGAGATAAAAAACCCAAACTTTCACAAGTGGATCTATAAGCCCCTCCATAGCGACTCTCTGAGCCCAGTTACTCTTTATGCTGGTGTTACTGTATCCTTATATAAAACAAGATTCTTTGTCATATCAGACATTAGTGAGTACTAGTTCCTTCAGATATAGCTATTTCAATTTAAATCCAACTTGCAAATGACAACACAAAACCAATTGGCTATGAAAACAGGAAAAAAAAGTTACTATATTATATCCAAATTTCAGATTGTCATCTCCCTTTCCTCCGTGCAAGTCATTACCATGAAAAAGTGCCTTTTTGTGTATCGTTCAGCTTGTGACAGTCATTATCCACGAGTTTCAAGTAAAACTGTGGAAATTAATCACTGAATTTATGTCCAGACACTTTAATAGGTGACCTGGATATTAGAGTCTCTGCTCATTCACATTGATGGCATCAAGTATATAGCAGCTCTGAAAAAATAAAGTACAGGGGACTTAATGGCCTGAAGACAGGCAGCTGATGTCATTTAAGATGTACTGGAGTGGGTCTGGCACTGGTCTGGCAAAGATGACACAAACCCTAGAGGAGACGTGTTCTGGATCAGGAGCTGTGGGCTAGAGGATACCCTAGAGGCTCTGAAAGACACTAGATACCTATGTTTGAGCTACTAAAACCCAGCTTTGATTTTCAGATGTTTTGACCTATGAAAGTCAACAGGGCTTTTGTTTCTAAAACCACTCACGTTCTTTTAAAATGCCAACCATAGCCTTTATTTCTAATTTTGACAAGACACCATTATTAATTTACTCACCATTAAAAATAAATACAAGTTCTAGATTTGTTCTTTTGTGACAACTCTTCTTGCTTTCTCTATTTTTTGAATTATTTTTTCCACTGGTAGTGAAGCCTGGCTGCCGAATTAAATCATAAATCTGTTGTATGGAGCTGTGAGATGAGCAGTGAAGGATGCAGATACATAGAGACTGAACCTAATATAGGCAGGAGCTGCACACACCAGAACAAATATGTTGCTTTCCTCACACAAATAATTTTCAGGCAGCAATTCTGTTTTTAGTTGAGCTCTTCTTTTGGGGAATGTCTTGAGGTAGTGATGCACATGTTATTCTGGGAAAGTGTTGGCATTTCAAAACAGATGGCGCAAGTTTGCCCATGTTTTGTTTTCGGTTCTACCTTGTAGCTCGCTCATACACAAGAGTATTTATTTCTACACTGCTGATTGCAGATAGGTTTGTGACAGGTTTAAAAGCAGTAGCTCAGCTTCCAGGCCTGGTCTAGCTGGAACTCTTTGTACTGTCCAAAGTGACCCACTGAGGAACCGTTCCTAACATCTACACTTGGTCTAGGCATAGACCTCAAAAGTCACAGAAGACACACATTCGATACCTGAGCAGCCCATGCCATAAATTGTCTGCACTGTTGAGCTGTGCATCAGAGGTGCTTAAGAGTTGAGAGTAACCAGAGGTGTCAGTAAATCCATGTAAGTTCTGACCAACAGACACCAATTCTCTGGTGTGGGAAGAGAGGTTGTTTCAGAAAGCGGTGTCTCTTAGCATGGGTGAACATGGCACAGGGATGCTCAGTCTGGCAGCTGGACAGGAATGCAGCAGATCAATGTGCATCAAGATCTTTGTGAAAAGGAAACTAGATAGTGTTTCTGTGTTGACTGAAGGAGTTACAGATCTCAAAGGGATTGGGGCTTAGGGTCAAATTCAGACCCTGTGTATCCTGAGGTACAGATACTGGGACACACACTGGATAATGCCCGGTATCTACTAATGGTCCTCCTGAAGTTAATATGATGCTTTGAGTGGTAAAATACTGCTTCATGGCAAAGTTACACAGTCTGGAAGTTAGGATTCAAGAGGCTTCACGTTCTATATTTATAGAAGTTTCTGATTATAACTCTGCCCACTTTTGTGTGCGCTATTTTAGCCTAAAGGCCATATGAGTGTGTCATGGATCAAAGTGTGTCAGCCATGCTTCATTCTGGTGACAAGAATGGTACTGTTTCATTTTCATGTCAGTCTAGACATGAGTCATATACTCCTGTTAGGATTCTGTTTTTATAAAGGTCTTGAGAAATATCCTACACAATTATGTAGTCAGCAAGCAGGAAAAATCGAAGAGCAAAGCCACTGTGCTCAGCAGAGCTTGTATACTGAAGTTTAATGCAATTACATAGTCACTTTTTAAATTCTGTTATGTGTGAGAATATGCTCGTGAAATTGAGTGTAAATCTAAACTTTTTCACTGCAAATGAAATACTGCCTGAAGAACCAGCTTCAGCTCCCTAAAAGCCAGGAGGGAATCTGGTTGCCTTGCCTGGAGCCTGGTAGCTGGGTGCCTGGAGCTTGCCTCACTCTGCTTCTAGCCTGGGACTTTGCCTTGCACAGTCTTTTTTCAAAGCAGTCTTTTACCTGTGACAGCCTCTGCCTCTGTTCAGCTGTTCATAGCAGATTGTCTTGGTCTGAGAAAATGAGGGAAATTAAGCTTTCGGCTGTTTCCATCCCTTTGGAGGAGGGAGGAAGTTGTCTCTGAAATCCCAGATAGGTTGATGT